ATTAATGTAAATTCAAAAGTTATTAGAAAATGGTCAGACAGAAGAGGGTTTTGAGGAAAGACTATTAAGTTTTCAGTTTCGATGCCATATGTCAGAACAAGATCAAGAGTGTGATTAAAACAGTGAGTGGGTTTGTTTACAATTTGAGAAAAGCCAACGGAGTCTAATAATGAACAGAATGCATTGTTGAGGCTGTCATTGTCAGCATCTACATGAATATTAAAGTCGCCTACTATGATTATTTTATCTGTACTAAGCACTAAATCAGACAAAGTCTGAAAATTCACTTAACTCTGAATAAGGAGCAGGTGGACGGTATACAATAACAAACTGGCTTTTGAGTTTTCCAGTTTGGGTGTGAGAGACTCAGAGTGAGACTTTCAAATGAGTTATAACTATGTTTAGGTCTACGGTTGATTAATAGGCTTGAGTCAAAGATCGCTGCCACACCTCCACCTCGGCCTGTGTTTTGAGGGATGTGACAGTTACTGTGACCAGGTGGGGTGGATTCATTTAGGCTGACATATTCTTCCTGCTGTAACCACGTTTCAGTAAGACACAATAAGTCAGTGTAATGTTCACTTATCAAATCATTCACTAACAGAGATTTAGATGAGAGAGATCTGATATTTAATAGACCACATTTGATTGTCCTATTACTTTCCACTATAAGAGGAGTAGTCTTAATTTTAATTAGGTTCCTATGGATAACTCCTCTCGAGTTGATTTTTGATTTACAGATAATGCACTGAGGGCACTGAGTTATGTTATACAGTCATGGGTTTTGTGACAATCAGAGTGATGGCCGGGGGAGGAAAATGTCCTTGTGCCTAGTCGTCTTGGCATACAGTGACATGTAGTGCTGTCCAGAGGGGAGGAGTTCAAACAGATTGTGTCCAGGGTGTGAGGGGTCTGCAGAAATCCTCTCCGCCCTCCTTTTGACCCGTGAGGTGTACAGGTCCTCCATGGAAGGCAGGCTTGCACCAATGACCTTTTCTGCAGTCCCGACTGTCCGCTGGAGTCTGTACTTGTCCTGTTTGGTTGCTGAGCCAAACCAGACAGTGATGGAGGTGCAGAGAACAGACTTGATGATTCCTCTGTAGAACTGTATCAACAGATCCTGAGGCAGGTCGAACTTCTTGAGCTGGAGCAGGTGGTACATCCTCTGCTGTGCCTTCTTGATGATGGTCGTGATGTTGGACGTCCACTTCAGGTCCTGGGAGATAGTGGAGCCGAGGAACTTGTAGGACTTTACTGCTGATACAGTGCTGCTGAGCTTTCAACTTTTCAGAGTAGCCCCTGCTCTGATCTCCCTGGTCAGTGCATTCCTGGCCTGCCTGTACAGGATCCTGTCCCACATCTGTAGGCCTCTTTGCCATGACAAAGCTGCTTAAGTTTTAACGTGAACCAGGGCTTGTTGTTGTTGTTGCAGTATGTGCAGAAGGTCTTGGTGGACACACATGTCCTCACAAAGCTGATGTATGATGTCACAGTATCAGTGACTTCATCCAGGCCTCTAGACCCAGCCTTAAATACACTCTAGTCTGTGCAGTTAGAGTGGGCCTGTAGCTCTGACTGCTCGGTCCATCTCCCCACTGTTTTGACCACAGGCTTCACAGTTTTAAGTTTCTGCCTATAGGTTGGGATGAGATGGACCATGCAGTGATCACAGAGACCGTGGGCTGCACGGGGGACAGAGCAATAAGCATCTTTTAGTACCATGTAGCAGTGGTCCATTTTGTTTTTGTCCCTGGCAGGACAACTGACATGCTGTTTGTTCATGGGTGAGGTAGAACAATGAGTGGGGAGTCGGGACGTTTCAGTTCCATTCTAGTTATCTGATCAGCTGGGTGCTGTAGTGCATTCTTATTTACACTCTGACCAGAATGAATGAGGAAACCTCTCTGGGAGAATAAAATGGTTTTCAGTTGATGACGACAGTCTCTAAGTCCTTGTTGCAAGTTCTTTCTAACGTGGTGACATCTTTACACCAACCTTCATGTCAAGTCAAGTCAAGTCAAGAATCCTTATTGTCATTGTGCATAGCACAACAAATTTTTTTCCGGCAGCTCTTGGCTTAAAAGACACATTATTTACATAACACACAATTGTATAAGTCAATATAAAACAATGAGCAAATAAAAAGGGATGTACAGGACCTAATCAGGTCAGCAGTATGTTAGCAGCAAAGACACATTATTTACATAATACACAATTGTATAAGTCAATATAAAAATATGAGCAAATAAAAGGGATGTATGGGACTTAATCAGGTCTGCAGCATGGTAGCAGCAAAAGAGTGTAGTAACATTATAAGGTGCAGCTCAGTGCAAATCTCAGTCGATTGATTTCACAGCTCTGGGGAAGAAGCTGTGTCTCAGTCTGTTTGTTCGAGTCTTTATGTATCTGTACCTTTTCCTGGAGGGAAGAGGCACAAAAAAACCCTGATGGACTTTGTAGGTAGGACAGCATCAGTACAGAACCTCACATAGTCCAGAACAGCTGATGTATAAGCCTCCAGGTCAGAACCCTCTTTGAACACCCCCCCAGTCAGTGTGCTCTATGTAGAAGCAGATTCTGCCTCCTCTCATTTTCCCAGATAACTCTGTTACCCAATCTGCTCTGTGTACCTGGAAGCCCGGTATTTGTATCACTCTCCCTGTCACATAGAAGAACATTAAGACCTGAGAACAAGCTGAAACATTTGGTTTGATGATACTTTATTAAATTGGGACCAGATCTAACAACATGTGTGTGTGTTTCTGATGTCCTGTACAGACTGAAGGCTGCTGGAAAGCTCCTAAACTGCCTGTCTTCATTGCGGCTTCCTGCCGCCACCTCCTCCTCTCACCCTCTTTCCAGGCGAGGCACAGTGCATCTCAAACGAGCCCACTGATTGGATGACAATCTTTTTGATGCTCTGATTGGCTGACAGGATAGACGTCTCTATCTCTAGAAGATGTTGTCTTCTCCCCCTGCCACCTCCTCATCTTCATCTCTGGCCTCTCACAGAGTGACCTCTGACCCCCGGCATGTTACCATGGAAACCTACTGGAGGGAGGTGCAGAGCATTGAGGAGGAAAAGGAGGGAGAAGAAGAAGACGAGGAGAAGAGTATGGATGGTAAGTGAAACCTTGAGCAGAGTGGGATATCATCATTCCAATCTGAACTCTACTTGTCTGTGACTATCTGCAGAGGTGGAGCTGGAGGAGGTGTGGCTGACAGAGGCAGGATTATCCTCTCTGGTGACGGGCTTGTCAGAGGAGGAGGCACCACTGCCGCCGGCGGAGGCACTATTATCCACATTGACACGGCAACAAGTCGCCACAGTGAAGAAGAGACTGGACAACTACAATGAGACGCTGAGGAAGAGAAACAGGCAACCAATCAGAGATGTCCGTGACATCTTCACTCAAGTGAGACACGTGTAGAAACAAACTGTACTTGGATAGGTATATATACGAATATACTGTACACACACGTATATACAGGGGGAAGTAACTAAGTACATGTACTCAAGTACTGTACTTAACTACAATTCTGAAGTATCGTATTTGCGTACTTTCATTTTCTGGTACTTTATACATGGACTTTACTATATTTCATTCAGAAATGGGAACTTGAGCATGGCTGTGATGGCTATGGAGGTTTTGTTTCATTGTTCTGCCGTCAAAACTCTGGTTCCTCAGTCAAACCCACAAAGGTTTGGATGTCAAATATAAACAGATTTAAATAGTATTATACTGGTATCAGCACTTTACTATGCATTGCAGCACACTCAAAGCACTTTCACACTATTTGCCCATTCTCACACCGGTGGTATCACAGGGAGCAACTTGGGGTTCTGTGTTTTGCTTAAGGACACTTTGGCACTTGGACTGGAGAAACAGAGAATCAAACCGCCAACCTTCCAGTTAGTCAACCCCAAATCAGAGTTGTTTTCATTTAATTAAAAACAAAACAAAAAAGCCATGACAGCTCCCGGAAGTGAAGCCACCATGATTTGATGGCTGGTTGAAGTATAGGTCATAAATCCTGCCTCCTCCATGTTGCAGATGGGACATGAGCCACATTAATAACTCAAAGTATAAATCAAAGACATTTTTCCCAGAGTTCACTTCTGTGGTTTTTGGTAGATATTATTATCATGCTGATGTGGTCGTTTTTCTGGTAAGGTGTTATTTGAAAAGCTTTTTGATGATATAAAAGGGGCGTATTTTGGATGATTTGACAGGTTTGATTGGTTATGCCACTCAACTACGCAGTCACTACTGTGCTGAATCTGCCTTATTCACTATATTTTAACTTTTACTTTTCCACTTTGTAGTTGTGGACTGTAATATTAAAATGCATTTATGGTACAATCTTTCTTCACAAGCTACAGGAATTAAATTGAGTTGTCAGTAACAAATAGACCAGGGGTGTCAAACTCAATCGCACAGGGGGCCAAAACTCAAAGCACACTTTAGGTCACGAGCCGAACAGGATAAACATTTATTGAATAGATTAAACTAAATGTTTTTTGTACATAAATGAGTTGAAATAGACAGGATGCAATATTATTCCAAAATAAATAAACTTGAACTTAAAATCAGCAACTGTATTTCTGCTAAGACTTCCATTTGCAAACACCTGCTTTTTGTCTGGACACAAGACGTCGCACACTTTACAGCTCTTCAGAAACTCTCCCTCAGTAAATGGCCGGGCTGATTTGGCTATCTTTTCTGCCGCAATAAAACTTGCTTTCACAGCAGCTTCGCTGTGTGATTTCGCTTTGGTGAAAACGTCTGCTGTGATGTCAGATTCCTCTTCAACTCCTCTACCTTCTGTAGCTTCTGCTCTGCATTCACGTTTTTCAGCTTGTCCTGATGTTTTGTCTCGTAGTGCCGTCTTAGGTTATATTCCTTAATTACAGCCACATTAGCTATAAGAAACATGGGTTTACCGGAAATGTCAGTAAACATATACTCAGCCTCCCACCGGTTTTGAAAGGCTCTGTTTTCATACTCAAACTTTCTCTTGGCCATTGTTAATGTTAGGGCCGCTCGACAAATAGGTGAGCGAGCGGAAAAATTGAGCAGACCCAGGCGGCTGGCTTCGGTGCAAGCAGTACTTTATTTACAGGTGATAAGATAGATAATTATTTACAACAGTATGGGTATGGTGAGAGATGGCCGGGTGTTGATCGGCGGTAACAGAGACACAGTCAATGGGTAGATGAAT